TTTTTTTTTTTTTGATGGACAATTATGTTATATTATGTTAAAATTTTGATTTTATTGTAGTATACTTTGCGTACAAATTAAATTTATTTCACGTATGGTATAAAGAAGCGATAATGATTATGATATGGTATTATATAACAGATATTAAATGGATGTAGATAGGAATACAGAATTAGTTATTATATGTTAGATTAGTTATAATATTAGGTTTATAACAAAATGAAAGAGAAATGAGGAAACGTGTTACGATGATAATCATTATCTTATTTGAAACGAAAAAATAAGGTAATTTTATCAAACGTGTAAATAAATAAACTAGATAATTTACTAGCAATATAACGGAGTACACACGACTAAATTCTTTTGTACATAAGAAATCATAAATTCATTAATTTACGTCATACACACTATACTAGAAAAATCATTAGATTTTTAGTTAAAATATTAGGATTACGATTTCAACATATTCATAAAAAACTACAAAGTACGGTGTATCATAACGTGTTGGAATGATTAACATATTAATGTAAAATTAAATATTTATTTAATCCGATAATTTCTCACCATACAAATTTCTTTATTGTATGAAACCGTATTATAAATCGATGCTTTTATTTTTTCAATTCCTTAATGCATGCACATTCTCTATAATTTACGAATACAAATATTTTTATCTAATCTTTTCATGCAAATAAAATTAGGAAGTTTCGATCCATATAATATAGGCGAATCTTTGTTAAATTTATAACTCGAATTCAAAGCAAAATAAGAAGATAACGCGAATACGTACAAGTTGTTCTCGAGTAAACGAGAAAGTAGGACGGATAATAAGAAACCTATAATTTTGCATTATGAAAATCGAGTGAAACACCAACGTGCACACCATCGAGGAATATTACAATCGTAAAAATTCTAATCAATAAAAGATTAAATATTAGTACAAGCAAAGTAGAACCTCTTTAGACATAATTATAGACAACATCGAGACCAACGAGGTGGAACGAGAGATCGATATATTTCGTGGAACGTTATCTCCCCGAAGCAACGTTTTACTTTACGCTACTAATGATGATACGAATTTAAAACTAGAAATTTAATTGAACTTGGATCGCGATATAGGCTATGGAACCGCTTCTGGCACACATTTTCCGTCCACATCGCTAAACATAGATTTTCACTCGTGTAAATTTCGTGTAAATAACTTTCCACGTGTTTTCGCGCGCGCTAAAAATACAGAAGTCGATGTTTTATCATTTGACCGGTCGGAAGTATTCTTAAATAGAGTTCCAAGGGGGAAAAAAGATTCTCGCGGTTTATTTACGAAATCTCTCGACACTGAAGAAATTTACTCGGTGTGTTGAGTATACGGTGCGCGTGGTTACAAATGAATGTTATCAACGGAACTAATGAAATCGTTTTAATTGCCTTACGCAATCCCCAGTCAAGGAAATTCCTTTCGAGTAGAAAGTAATTAAAAGCGAGAAGTTAGATGGAATGTATGTACCATTATATTTTATATTTCTTTTCGATAATTATTAAGATTATTGTATTCGCGACGAACGAGAGACGAACTTCATTTAGAAAATTAAAAAAAAAAAAATTGAAAAGGATTGTATAGTTCAATATTTATTAAAGGAATCGATATGGTTGTAGTTAATGCGTTAAAAAAAAAGATATCGTAAAATTTAACATCCATAGCATTATATTTTTTATATAATTTTTAAATAACGATTATTTCTAAAAAGAAGAAAAATCTTATAATTGTTCATACAATATTATCCATATAAGTGAAAGCAGTGTTATCGTATTTATAATACGATAGTAATAATCTCTTTCAAGGCAAAATGCTTGCAATTTAAGTACGTACAAGTTCAAGTTCAACGATTTCCTCTTCCCTGTACAATCCTGCCAGTCACACTTCCGTAATAATTCAACTGTAATCAAGAATTTCATACTCGATAGCTATATTTTCTACCTGTAGTGATAGCAACCATCGCGTATCAATTTTCGAATCCTCATCGAGATAGAAACTCGTCGATGATACAGCTTGTATCAATTAATTGGTCTCGTTTAACTCGATATCGATATTTCGTGAGCAATTAGCGACGCAATGCGTTTAATTTGGTAAAAAGTAATTTTTGCCAAGCAGAGGGAAAGTAACACAAGGCCCGTGAATTTCTTTGATCGCGGAGGAAATCGCGATATCTATCATCTCGTTCTTCATATACGGTTCGATGAGTTTCTTACCGGGCCAAGGAAACCTGCTCTCGTGTCTCGAAATATATTAGCCACGTTATAGCTTGTCAATGAGAAATACTACGAGTTTAATCCGTGGATGAGACTCTATCGCGTTAGGTAATCCACGATAAGATCTGAATCGTATCTAGATAAATTAGATATTATGAACGTGAGTGGGTTCTATTGCATATTAATAGTTAGAGAATATTTTCTTAATTTTTGGTTTAAAGAAGAGAGATATATAAATTGATTTTTCAAGATTTTCAAAGATAGTTAGAGGTTTTTAGTGCTATTCTTGTAGATAGATTCAGATGATTGAGCGTGTATTTTTTCAGCGTATATTTTTCTATGATATTTTGGTTGATTTGAAATATATTTTTGATGCATCTTTTCCATTATTCGCTTTTCTTTGATTTATTGTAATTTTCAATTATTTTAATTTCTTTTTTTCATATTTCTCAAGCTTATTTTTTAATATTTGATTATTATTTAAATCACTTTTTGAAGGAGTTGCTATGAATTTTAATAGACATGCACTTTCTCTCGTTGAATTCTCTCAAACATCCACCGTGCCCCGCTATTCTTTCTTTCTTTTTAAGAACGTTCACCCTCGCAAACGCGCATACTGGCGCCACTCAGCCATACTTAAATGTCGTACTTGTGTTAAGTAGTCAAAGTACCCTTGTCCCGGTAATTCGCGATATAACCGAAATGTGACAAATTCTCGAGCAAGAATAGTAGAGAAAATTGAAAAGTTCAAGGCAAAAATATTCTCGTATCATGTACTATTTTTAAAAAGAACAGAATTTAAACGTTCGATGAATCACGACCTTTTTTTTTTTTATGTATTTATACTTGTCTGAATTCCACGATATTTATAAATGATTTTTATAGCTACTTTCATAAATTATTTAAAAAACATGGCTAGATACGAAGAATCTATCCATGAAATCGGTAGTTCTTAATTTTTCTGTTTGATTAAATTATTCGATATTTTAATCCGAATGATATTATATGGTGATTTGTTTTTAATTTCGTTGAATTGCAATGATTTTAATGCACATATAATATCATGATAAGATAACAATATCTCAAAAATTTAATCAAATAATAAATTTAATTTTAAATAATTTATCGCTACGTAAAAATATTAATCATAATTTAAATATACCTTACCTTGATTGCTTCCTGGTAAAAATATTTTATTATTCTCTTCAGTATTATCTCCTCTCATAAATTTTATTATTCTATTTTACCAAAGACGGATAGAATCACTCTCAAAGCTATGTCTCACATGCATCGTTTAGTAGACCCATTTTCTAACGTTCGAACATTTCCACGAAAGAATTTCCACGACCGTTTATAAAAAAAAAAAAAAAAGAACCAACTGTAAATATGTAATAAACATCTCGATATATTTATACCGTTTTCTACCGTTACTCGAAGCTGAATTTATATCGAAATTTACGAGAAGTTTGCATTTCAATATTCCCCTCGTCCTTGTCTCCTCGTGTACAACTATACGGAACACGCGACACGAGAAGAAGAGGAAAAAAAGAAAAAAAAAAAAAAGAACCAACTGAAAATATGTAATAAACATCTCGATATATTCATACCGTTTTCTACCGTTACTCGACGCTGAATTTATATCGAAATTTACGAGAAGTTTGCATTTCAATATTCCCCCCCTCCTTTTCTCCCCGTGTACAACTATACGGAACCCGCGACACGAGAAGAAGAGGAAAAAAAGAAAAAAAAAAAAAAGACAAGAAAACGTGGCCTCTTGTATCACACGCGAATAACGCTAATTAGATTCGAACGAGCGTGAAATCTTAATTCCCCGGTTCGCTTTCGAGGAATTTCGTCATGTGCGACCAGTTTGTCACTCTTTTTCCACGGCCCGAATTGCTCTCCATTTGTCAGCTTTCTTGAACGCCGGTCAGTGTTCAAACAACACGGTTTCTCGCGTGTTCGGAACGGTTCTTATAAATCAAT